GGGTGGACATCCAAGAATCATCGGCCATTACAAGGAAAAAGAAAGAGAGATACATATATCAACCAAAGAACAACAAAAAATGGGGGAGAGGAACCATCAAACGTCGGCTAAAAAAATAACATCCATCGAAAATAACCGGAAAAAAAAAACTAATCTACCAAATCGAAAGTAGAAAACCATTCAGAGCAACCAGGACAGAGAAAACATGAAAGAAACTTACATTCTTGAGTTTTTTAGATTAATCGCTGTTAAGTCATCGAGGTTAAGATTCTCCCGACTTTAGATTGATGTGGTTGTATGAGGGTCGTAGGTATCAGTTGTATTGTTAGTGTTGGGTGTAGGCGGGGATTGAAACAGGGTAAGGTTTTGAGTGTAATATGATTTAAACTTAGGGTCAGAAATGCTTTTTAGATAGGTTTTCAGTTAAGGTTGTCATCGGGGCTTGTGGGTTTCTCATAAGAGCGTTAGGCGATGGAGAGAGGGTCGTGCGAAGGGCGTCTATTTGGGTCTAGGGTCTTAAATAGGAGAGAGGAGAGGAAATGAGAGAAAAGGCAGGTTTGGCTTAGGGGAGAAGCTGAAAATAACTTAGGTCAAAGTTGTACCCTAATTTTCCCTATGTATGACGTGCGATACGTCGTCGTTTTAGGTGAGGTTGAAACGGTGTCACTTTGATGCTATGGAAGATATTATGTGTTTTAAGATTAAGGGTTAATTATGTTGAGCGGTCTGCTAGTTTCAAAATGTTATATTCTGATCACTAAATCAAAGTTTTCAGGGTTTTAATATGGTCTTCATATTTGTAAGCTCTTTTCGTTTTGGTCCTGCTTTGATGTTGTGTTTTGTTTTCGATTGTGACATGTAATTTTGATTATTTTACAATGTAATCACTTAGCATACTTGTTTATTGATGAGTAAATTGTGATTGTGGTGCATGAGATATGATCATGTTTGTGATTCGTGAATCATCATTTAGAGGTTGAGTTTACTATTGCAATTCTAAATATGGTTACCTTTTAAAATAGGTCATTGTTTTTTTATGCGCATGTGTATGTTAATTTAGCAAGCATTCTTCAATTATTTTGTGTTCAATTGTGTATAATTAGCTAATTAATCTGTAACATGGAATATATTCATAGTGTTATGTTAAAATGTTCATAAGTTTACCTCGAAATTTATATTTGTATTTGCATGGGCATGTAGATTTAAATTTTTAATAGTTGACATAATATGTATAAATTCCTCATGTGCATAACTTGACAATATTACATAATTTGATTAAGGGTAATATCTTTTTAATTTAAAATTATTTTAAGTGGGTTGTCTTAACTAATTAGATATCCGCTTTTGGCGCTTTTAAATTAAAAGTGTATCCCATTATTGACACCCAAAAAATATCCATCACTCTAAGATTTGGGAACGGAAGAAAAAGAAATATTCGACTATTTAAATTTATCAAGAAAAGGTAGTTAGAACTTATATAAGATCTTGTCTCAATATTTTTAAATAATCGAATATTCTTTATCTTTCTAAAGGCTGAGCAATTTTAATTTAACATATTTTGGTGTTTTTGAATGTTGTAAAATTCGTATGTTGTTGTTTTGAGGGATTATAAAGCAAGTTAAATTAGAATTTGTGAAATTCATTGCAAAGACATTAATTAATCGACTAGGTACCGATTTAGGGTGTTCTGGGGGTGCTAATCCTTCCCCACGCGTAACCGACTCCCGAACTGGTTTTTTGGTAACGCAGACCTAAATTTGTTATTTTAATTAAAATTAATTTTTTACTTTAAAATAACAAAACGTTTTTGGGTACCCAATCACACCCTAATCAAATATTGGTGGCGACTCTTCGAACCTGTGTTTTTATCGTGAAGGAATTTCCAAATGTTCGAAATGAGAGGTTTTCTAAAATCGCATTGTTTTTAATTAAAAATTCAATCAAAAAGAGAATAATTAAAAATGACGTGACTTTTCAAAATCTCGATCCCCCCGACTTAAAACCGTTTCGACACGCCGACAACGTACTTTTTGATACCCGCATTGTCCGCACCATACTTTTTCTCCAAAGTGTCACATATTGCCTTGACACTCCTTTCTCTAAGGAACATATCAAATAATTTATTTGACATGTGACTGAGCAGATGTCCTCACACCGTTTTATTGTCTTTATCGTATTTCTCATAGGTAGAGAGTGCGGCGGTGGCAGTTGCTAAGGTATCATCATTCAGACCGTATAAACATCATTACTGGCAGTTGGGGTTAGCGTCATGATAGGTGGTGGCTTGAGCAACACGTCGTCAATATCAAGCTACTCGAAGAATATCAGGATTCTTTGGGACCACCTTCTATAATTCTTTCCATCAAGTGCATCGAGCTTGGAAAGATCAGAAATCAGTTTGCTCAAAGGTGTTGTCATGATTGCAATATAAAGGAATTCGTTTCTAAATTGTTGTAAATATGGACTGCAAAATAACACCGTTAACACTGACAGGAAAAATAAATAATAATTTAAAAGAAACAGATTGATAAACCGTGTCGTGGTAAAACCACTGCCTTAGAAACGAATTCGTCTCGATGTGTGTGATCGCTGCAGTAGGCAGACCGTTCCCCCGATGTTAACACGGCTCTCCAAGAATTCGTACACCTGAAAACTGGAGTGAACTTGGTGGTATTGCTCTTCTCTCAACTCAAACAACACTCAAAAGATAGGAGTATTTCAAAGCAAATGTTTGTTTGGGATATCTCAAAATGAATGAAATTACTCACTATTTATAGGCTAAATAGTGAGGGCAAAATTATCATTTCCAATACTAGTGGAATAACCTAATTTGAGCATTATCAAGAAATGACAATTTTGATAATATTCACAATGCTAGTTGAATGAGCATTATCATTATCAAAATTGAGCATTATCAAGAAATGACAATTTTGAGCATATTACAATGCTAGTTGAATGAGCATTATCATTATCAAAATTGAGCATTATCAAGAAATGACAATTTTGTGCATATTCACAATGCTAGTTGAATGAACATTATCATTATCAACATTGAGCATTATCAACATTGAGCATTATCAAGAAATGACAATTTTGAGCATATCAACATAAATAGCATAGATAGTATTGAGAAATACTTCATGGAGAGAGTATGGTTGTTAGAAACTTAAAGCCCCTTGCAGAAAATCGGGGAAACCAACAATTAGATCAGTAGTCAGTCCGTGCTTCGTTTTACAGCATATTAGTTGGATAGTTGCCAAGCTGACTTACTGGGAATCTCTATTAACTTTGTTGTTGGTATTTTCCCAACATAAATATGTTATTTGTACTAGCAGCAGTTTACGAAGCTTGATGGAATTTTACAAATTTTGAGAAACGTGAAAGATATATAATTGGAAAAGTGTGCCTGGAAAAGTTAGAAAAGGGTTCTTGGCCACATTATAAAATCTGAAGGCTGTGAACGTGGCTATGATAGGTCGGTTTAACACGTCATGTTACTGTATAAGGTGATAGTGGTGTTCGGATTTTAGAATTATTTAGTAGAAAGCTAAAGTATATGTATAGTGATGGTGGTGGTGTTGATGAGAAGTTGTAGCCAAGGGAACTATTAGTTTCGTGGACTTGTTGACTGTGGTTGGGATGACCAAGGGCCTCAAAATGGTCCTATAGGTATGAAATGATATAACATTGTTCATAATTTCTTGAATTTAATTTTTATCACAGATTGGGCTATTAAATCTGCTTGCATTCATTCAATAGAGTAGAATCGCTTTCTCTTAGCTGTGGAATTTTTAGCCTTATTAAAAGAGTTGTTACCTTGAAGGAGTGGTAGGTTGTATTTTCCATTTTGCCACATGGAGATAGTTTCAGTGTGGAGGTGTTTGAAAAATTTGCTGACTGCATGGTCAATACCTTTCTGCTTAAGTTGTTGAATGCCAAGTTATATTAACTCATTTCAATCATTATTTTGCAGCAAATCGCTTCGATGAAATATGAACATCATGCATGCATTTCGTTTTTTTTCTGGAGACGATCACATTTTGTCATGTAACCAATGTTTCGGCAATGGCGAAGTAGGGAAAGGGTGGTTCAGTTGAAGAGGGTTGCAGAGATACCATTGTAATTAATACTTGGAACAAAGAAATCCAATGTCAATAATATTTGGTGGATTGAAGAAATCTCCATCTTAGTCAAAGATGGTTCAGAATATAAGGAACAAGAAACAGATGGAAAAATAAAAGATTATTATCGCAGCTGGCTAGTGTGGTTTTTTCTTCAACCGGAGGATCTATATTTGATTGGTTGAAATCCTCTTTTTGCTTAGTTGGGACTGTAAATATAAAAACACGTATTTGTCTTTGCCTAGATTGTAGTTATTATAACAACAAGCCTCTTGTGAATCGGTCAACACATTGTGAATTTTTGAGTTTAAACTGTGAAGCTTAGAAAGTTTAAGCACTGGTGACATAATTTTACCATTTTTATTTGGCTTGCAATTGCAAATGAAGGGTAAAAAACATATGAAAGGGAAAGAATAACATATGAACTAATGTTAAATGAACGTTAAATGTTAAATTAACATGCTAGTGAACGTTAAACGAAAATAAAAGAACATTAATATCTTTAAAGTTAAATAAACAAACATGAACATATTATTAAAATTTAAACAAATATAAAAAAGAACATGAATACATTAAAAAATAAACAAACAACACGAGTACAATCGTTTCCATTCAATATCAATTCATTCGGTACGTCTAGTCTAAGACTAATATCCGTAGAAACAAAAACGAATTGGTGGTATCCCGTTTCCGATGTAAATTCTCTCCGAAAGGGTATGGAACTTCTTACTAAATTAGTGGCAGAAGTAGTACCACTTAAAATGAAGATAGAAAACGTTAAAAAAAATCAATGGTATATGAAATTTTATTGCAGATAACGTTGAAAAAGTTTGTTCCATGCTTTTAGGATCTTGGCTTTGATGCTCTTCTTCTCGGAAGTTGTTATGTTGGGTTCTTCATCATCAAAGGGTGATGCTAAAGGAAGATATGGGTCATGGATCCTACAATACCTTTCAAAGGAAGAAAAAGATTTTTATTTTATTTTGTTATGTTGTTCAAAGTTGAAAACGTTAATAGAAATATCAAAATAGTGAATAGGATTAAAGTTCAAATACTAATTTGGGAGAAAAAATTATTTAGTTATCGACCTCAAATTGCTTGATTCAAGTATTAATTTGTTAGATATCAACTTGAGAGATGGTGTTTAGTACAAGTATCAAATGTATATTTAAACGTATACTTTAATAGTAAAGTTTTGTTGTTAATCCCAAATGTGAATTTATAAGAGGAATTATACTCCTACAAATTGTTCATCTGGCATATATCAACAGTTGATTTGTTTCTACATCCTGCACAGTAGTGGTTCTCGATTCAAGATGCAATATTTCATTGGATAATGCAGTATATACATAGAAACTGAGCAGGTGTTGATAAAATAAATATACATCCTTGATGATGCTTTTTGCTTGGTGTATTGGAAGCCTTCCCTCGGGCAATGCAAGGGAGAGGAGCAGGTTGTGCAATATGGGTCAGATATTGCTCTCCATCGGATGCATATGCTGTCCACACCTGCCATCACAACATACATACATTAAACATCAGTACAGTTCCACCAGAAAAACAAAATACATATGGTATAACTTGATAGCTTGATCAGATAAGGAACTTACCCTTTCTTGATTCCCAAGTTTCCCAAGTGATCCAGATCCTAAAGCACCATTTGTAATTTGACCGGGCGAAGAGAAAGCGGGATTAGACCAAAAAAGGTGTTCGAAGATGGCCATTATATATATATATATATCAATATGGCTGTAGCAACAAAGCCAAAAGAAATTGCATTCATGGATGTTCCAAAGCTTTTCCAAGGAGTTCCCTCATCAGCTGCAACTGCTAAAGAGGGACTTGGATCCGAATTTGTATATATGCACGACTTCGATCTTTTGGTACCGAAATCATTCATAGTTGTGGGAATCTTTCTTGTGGGAAAAAGTAGTACTTTTGGATCATCAAAACATGCCTCAAACCAGATTCAGGCAAAGTTGCAGGCTTTGATCACCTCATTCATGAATTGTCATTATCCCTGAAAAAGAAAAAGTAACCTAGTAATCATTGATTTGTGATTAAGAACCGAGCAAACGAAGTTGCAGATAAGCCAGTGGCATCATAACAACTTCCGGTGACTTCTGTGTTGCAAGTGAAGTATTAGACGTTGAAGGGGATATATACTAAACTGTTGTTAAAAAGAAGACTGGATTCTGGTCCTGGGAACTAGGGAGCAAACGTAATTTTAGACCCTTTCGATCTTATAGTTCAACTGCAGTGTCCTTAAAAAACAAGACACCTACACCTGTAATGAATTATATTCTAAAGAAAGCAAAGACCCCAGACCAGACCAGCCTAGCTTTATACCTCAATTTGAAATCTTTTTTTTATAATAAATGTTTTATATTTTATTTCGTTCTTATTTTCATATGATATTTAAATATAAACCATCTAAAAATATATCATTTTTTATCATTGAAATAGTATTTGAAAATTTTCTAAATCACGTTTTTATTTTACGATTTAAGTTTGTGAGTGAATTTGGGAGTATACAGTCACAATATAAGTCCTTTCCACTAGCATATTGAAGCATCACATCTTTGAATTCCATGATCCACCAAACACCACTATTTCTTGTCACATTTCAATAAGCTCATATCCATGATTAATTTTATCTAAATCACGTGGTACTATGATTTTGCATCTGAAAACCCTTGGTGATGGACACACAGGAAAACAAACGAGTAAAAATATACAGGGACAAGAAAGTTCTTGCCCTCAATACAGTTTCTGTTTGTCTTTGAAAAGTACTCTTTATTCTCTCGCATGTCATTTAAGCTACCGCTCAAGAACAAGTGAACATTCAAAGCAGCTTTAACAACAACTTTTAATGAAATACAAGGAACCTGGTTCTCTCTTTCTGGATGCTCTACTCTGCCACACTTGTAATGGTCCGCGTGTTAATTTTATAAGAGTTATTCTTTGATTAAAATGGTTGACTTGGCCTGGATTTAGATAAAAGTGAAGTTGAGATGTTTCCTCTTGGACTTTCCTGCAGGTATCAATTGTATGTTAATGTTATTACAAATGCATAAACACTGCTGAGAACCAACCCATAGGGACAATGACCCTTCAGAGGGGCCACGCCTGCACATCAACAAGACAGATGGGGGACAACTCAAAAGCACAGCAACCCTTCGCTTGCTCTCTTCACAGTAGAAGCAATCAAACAAAATGTGGAGCCAGCCAACCACTATTTTATGACATTGTCCACATGAAAGAGATTAAAAAGAGAGAGAGAGCAGTGAAGCTCATGTTATTACAAGAGGACTCTTTCCCATGTATGGGGTCTCATGGATTTTTCTTTAAAGAAAGAGAAATAATTGTAATTGGGTTAAAGTTAATACACCCTTTCTTACATAAAAATGTAAGATTTTAGATTCAAACATCGTAAATGAAAAGAAGCAACGTCTGTAGAGATTTAATATCCCGCTTAAGGGTCTAACTCTGGTTCAACTTCAAATATAATCGAACTTTATATTACTAGCGGACATCGAGTTCCAGTTAATAGAAGGGGTCATGGTCATGGAGTTTTTCTTCTCCTTCTCTTTTTTCGAAGTGGTAGGTCAAAAGCATATCTAGTACCCTTGCTTTTACTTGAATTAACCAAAGACTTGGCCCTATCTCTACAGGGAAAAGCAAGGAGAAAACTAGATGGCAGGGAATAGAGTTGATGAACTCAATAAAGCTTCCACTAGTTTCCTTCTTTTTATGCAACCTATGTATAATTAGATGACCCTATTCCCATATGTAATGGGATAAGGGGGAGGTAGGATAGTAGGTTGCCCCCAACGCCAGGTTTAGAGCAGCTACCGTGGGAGACCTCCGGCAATCAGAATTATAAATTGCCCACCATGGGACTCGATCCCACGACCACAAGGTTAAGAGCCTTGCGCTCTACCAACTGAGTTGGACGGGCAATTCCTATACAACCTATGTATACAACATAATTGTATACTGATCATTCAACAAATTGTTATGTTTTAGGGTTGAATGTATTAGAAGAAATAGAGATTTCAGGAAAGAAAGAATTTAAGATAAAGAAAATGTTGAATTATTTCTTCAAAGGTGATCCCTAATAGGAATAGGTACAACTTATAAATGCACATATACCCTCACAACTGTATCATGTAATGCAATTCTAACAAATCAAATGGTTATATTGTTGACTCATGCAGATTCTTTCCAGGTGGACTAGCTAACTCAAAGCTCATTATCTCTCAGGCCCGTGGTGACTCTATTAGCTGCTGATGGATGTTCTTGGATTATTTCAGCTCGGGTCCAAGTGGATTTCTCTTATCTAAATACCCCGACTCGTCCATACTCTCTAGCTCGTACATATGCTCCGACCCGTCTATACTATTCAGCTCGTATAGATTCAGGTTACTTTCCTTTCCCGATCCCTAATTTACCTCTAATCCCTAATTACTTATGATTTTCCCCAAATCCTTCTATTATAACCTAACTCATCTTCTATCGTGACAATACCCCCTCCACCAGATGATCATTATCCCCAAGGATCAAAATAAGGGAATTGTGTCTTCAGCACGGTGTAGTCTTCCCAAGTGGCGTCGACCGGTCCCATGTTCGTCCACTGAATAAACATCTTAGTGATAATCTGGTTCTGTCATTTGATTATCCGTTCATTCAAAACCATGGTCGGGTAGACCTTCAATTGACCATCAGATGCGAATTTTGGGGGATCGATCGAGGTCACTCCCCAATTTCTAACCTTTTTCTTGAGTAAACTAATGTGGAATACATGATGCAATTTTGACTCTGTTGGTAACTCTAACTTGTAAGCAACCTGACCAATTCTCTGTTGTATTTTGTAGGGGCCAAAGTACTGAGCAACAAGCTTCAAGTTTTTTTCTTAAAGTAATTGATGTTTGTCTGTAAGGTTGGAGCTTCAGGTAGACCTCATCTCCCACTTGAAACTCTTTGTCTGTGCGATGTTTGTTAACTATCTATTTTATAGGATTACTAGATTTAAGTAATTTTTCGAGTAGTAATGTATTTAACTGAACCCATTATTGCATAATGTCATGGACTGACCCAACTCTGGATTCTCCCAACCAAGCCAAATTAGGGGCGTTGTAGCTATATAGTGCCTCAAATGGGGTCATTCCCAAAGCATTGTGGTAATTAGTATTGTACCACCACTCAGCTTGGGCTAGCCACTTCGACCATGAGTTTGGCTTTAAAAAACACATGACGAAGATATTGTTCCAAATATTGATTGAGTCTCTCTATTTGCCCATCTGTTTCTGGATAATAGGCAGTGCTAAAGAATGTAGTAGTTCCTAGTTGCTTCAATAATTACTACCAAAAGAGACTACTAAAAGACTTATCTCTATCCTAAATAGCGACCTTAAGAGGACCACGTAATTTGTAAATTTAGTCTAGGTAGACCCTAATAACTTCCACCACTGTATAGGGTTGAGACAATGGCATGAAATGAGCATACTTGGTAAATTTATCAATCACTACCAGAATACAATTGTATTTTGTGGAAGGTGGCAAGCCTTCAATGAAGTCCATTGTGATGACTTCCCAAAAACTGTTTGGAACTAGAATGAGTTGTAACAACCCTGATTTAGCAACATATTCAATCTTAGTCCATTGACATACTTCACGTTGATACACATGCAGTTGAATCATAGTTTTCATTTTTTGCCAAAAAAAATAAGATTTTATTCTTTGATAGGTAGCTTGAATACCTGAATGACCTCCATGTGGTGAATCATGTAGAGCCAAAATAATTTTCTCTCTAAGGTCTCCCTTGCTGCCAACATATGCCTTGTTTTTGAAATATAGAACCTCTTTAACTAGTTTCCAATCCTCTATCTTATTTGGTTGAAGAACCATGATAGGAACTTTCTTCTGTGCAATGGTATCATCTACATAACTTTGC